AGGGCCCCCGCGCCCCGCGGGGCCGAGCCCCATCCCGGACCGCTCCCCCCCCCCTCTCCCGCCGCCATTACCAGGTCACCCCCATCGCTGCACCGGAAGGGGCGGGTTTAACGAGACGCCGGAAGGGGCGGGGCCGACGCGGCGGCGGAAGGGGTGGGGCGTAGGCGCACGCGGGGCCGGTGGCGGCGGCGGCTCCTGTCGGCCATGCCCAAGGCCCGGCGGCCGCGGGGCTCCGGCCCCGGCTCTGCCTTACCCTTGGCCGAGCAGATCCTTCAGGAGGCGGCCCCGCGGCCCACGGCGCGGGGGAAGCGGCGCGGCGGCGAGGAGGAGAAGGAGGATGACGATGGTTACGTGGACGCCCGGTTGTCCCGGCGCATCCTGCAGCAGGCCCGACGGCAGCAGGAGGAGCTGGAGGCCGAGCACGGCCCCGGAGCGCCCGCCGTCCCCTCCAAGAAGCGCAGCACGGCGCTGGGTGAGCCCCCCGGTTCTCCCCGCCCGCCCCCCCCGGGGGTTGTGGGGTGCCGGGCCCCGGGCTCAGCCAGCGCCGCTCCCCCGCAGGCCCCACGGGTGGTGGCTCCGGCTCGGAGGGGGAGGAGGAGGATGAGGATGAAGAGTGGCCCTCCTTGGAGAAGGCGGCAGCGATGGCAGCCGGGAGAGGGGAGTACTGCGGGGAGGTGGTGGTGGACCCCGAGGACGAGGCGGCCATCGAGATGTTCATGAACAAGAACCCGCCGCTGAGGTGAGGAGCGGGGGGACGGGACGGGATGGGACAGGGGGTGCTGCCCGCCCCCGAAAACAGCCCCTGACCCCCGGCCCCAGGCGCACGCTGGCCGACATCATCATGGAGAAGATCACGGAGAAGCAGACAGAGGTGGAGACGGCGCTGTCCGAGATGTCGGGCTGCCCCATGGCCCAGCTCGACCCCCGCGTCCTGGAGGTCTACAGGGGCGTCAGAGAGGTGAGGGAAACCCCCCTGCCCCGGGGGCCACCCCCCCTGTTCCTCTGAGTCCCCACCTTCACTCAGCACAGTCCGTTCTGTGTGTAACCCCCACTGTGCTTGGTGTCAGTCATTGAAGGGACCGGAGACTTTGAGATCAACAATCCCCTCTGGATGATCCTGGGACGGTCCTTTCTTAGGACCCAGGTGGTTCTCTCTTACCAGGGATGCTGAGGGAGTCACGGTCATGAACAAGTCCTGCTGTCCCTGCCTGTAAGTCACCACCCGACCTGTGTCTTTTAAGGTGTTGTCCAAATACAGGAGCGGGAAACTCCCCAAGGCATTTAAAATCATTCCTGCCTTGTCCAACTGGGAGCAGATTCTCTACATCACGGAGCCGGAGACGTGGACAGCAGCCGCCATGTACCAGGCCACCAGGTACGGGCAGCTCTGGGAGATGCTGACTTGGGATTTTTGGCTTTTTTTTCTCTCCATAACCCAAACCAGATTTGGAAAACACCAACCCGTGTCCTGCTGGGCCTCCTTTCTCCACGCCTTGATCTGTGCTTTGCTTTTCTCAGGATATTCTCATCCAACCTGAAGGAGAGGATGGCCCAGAGGTTCTACAACCTGGTGCTGCTGCCGCGGGTCAGGGATGACATCGCCGAGTACAAGCGCCTCAATTTTCACCTCTACATGGCTTTGAAGAAGGCTCTGTTCAAGCCGGCGGCCTGGTTCAAAGGTGGGGACTCCCTCTGGGGCCACGTTCCTGCCCGGGGGGCTCTGGCCACCTGGAAACTCAGTGGGGGCACCACTACCCAGCGAGACAGGACACTGTCCCCTGCGTGGTGTGGCCCTGGGGATCAATGGGGAGGAAAAGACACGAAGGAGATGGAGGGAGACTCCTTTGGTGGATGAGATGGTGTCCAAACCCCCAAGGGCCCGTTTGTGATGTTCAGAGGGGAAGGGGGATGAGTGCCACAGACCTACAGAGGTGTTTCCAGTGAGCGCTGGCAGGGATTTGGGTTCTTCTGGAGGTTGATGGCAAATTATGAACCATCTTGGGTCTGATCCATAGGGCAACAAAGATGATGGAGGGAGCGGAGCATCCCCCTGATGAGGAAAGGCTGAGAGAGCTGGGGCTCTTTAGCCTGGAGAAGAGAAGGCTGAGGGGAGACCTTACTCATGCTTATAAGTATCTAAAGGGTGGGTTGAGGGAGGATGAAGCCAGACTCTTTTCAGTGGTTCCCAGTGACAGGACGAGGGGCAACGGGCACAAGCTGGACCATGGGAAGTTCCACTCCAATGTGAGGAAGAACTTCTTTGGGGTGAGGGTGGCAGAGCCCTGGCAGAGGCCGCCCAGGGAGGGTGTGGAGTCCCTTTCTCCGGAGATCTTCAAGCCCCAGTGGATGCTCCTGAGTGATGTGTTCTGGGCAGCCCTGCTCTGGCAGGGAGTTGGGCTGGATGATCTCTAGAAGGTCCCTTCCAGCTCTGACAATTCCATAATTTCGTGATCTTGGTCTCATCTGGCAACCTGAGGTGTTCTGGGGCTTGTTGCCTGGCTGGGAGATGCTGGGAGGCTTGTAACAGCAGCTGCTGGAGGAGCTGTTATTTCCTGGGGTGGGATGTGTTGGGGAAGGGGCCGAGCCCCATGTCCTGCCGCTCTCCCTGCTGCCGTTAAAACAAGACGGTGCCTGACTCTTCCTCCTCCGCAGGGATCCTCATCCCCCTGTGTGAGTCAGGGACCTGCACGCTGCGGGAGGCCATCATCATCGGCAGCATCCTCACCAAGTGCTCCATCCCCGTCCTCCACTCCAGGTAACGCCCTGGGAAGCTTGTTGGGGGGCAGAGATTCTCTGGGGACACCGGTGCGACGCCTCGAATCTATCCCTCAGTCTCTCCAGAGGGTTGGGGAGGGACATTTGCTCAGCTCCCTCCGGGGTTGAGACTCGGGGCTCAGAGCTGGGTTGGCAGAGATTCTCTGGGGACACCGGTGCGACACCCCGGATCTGTCCCTCAGCCTCTCCAGAGGGTTGGGGGAGGGACATTTGCTCAGCTCCCTCTGTGGTTGAGACTCAGGGCTTGGAGCTGGGTTTGTCATAGAATGGTTTGGGTCGGAAGGGACCTTAAAGATCACCCAGTGCCACCCCCTGCCCTGGGCAGGGACACCTCCCACCAGCCCAGGTTGCTCCAAGCCCCCTCCAACCTGGCCTTGAACCCCTCCAGGGATGGGGCAGCCACAGCTTCTCTGGCCAACCTGGGCCAGGCTCTCACCACCCTCACACCAAACAAGTTCTTTCTAGTATCTAATCTAAATCTCCCCTCTTCCCATTTAAAAACCATCCTGGCCTGCCCTCGTGGTGGTGCTCTAATCTAAATCTCCCCTTTTCCAACTTAAAAACCATCCTGGTGCCCGGTGCCACCCGTGGCTCCTGCCCTCGTGGTGGTGCTGCCCCCGTCCCCGCAGCGCGGCCATGCTGAAGATCGCTGAGATGCAGTACAGCGGCGCCAACAGCATCTTCCTCCGCCTCCTCATCGACAAGAAGTACGCCCTGCCCTTCCGCGTGGTGGATGCCCTCGTCTTCCACTTCCTGGCCTTCCGCACGGACCAGCGGGTCCTGCCCGTGCTGTGGCACCAGAGCTTCCTGGCCTTCGCCCAGCGCTACAAGGAGGACCTTTCCTCGGAGCAGAAGGAGGCTTTGCTGGAGCTGCTCAAGTTCCACAGCCACCCGCAGATCTCCCCGGAGATCCGGAGGGAGCTGATGAACTCCAAGACACGGGACGTGGAGGGGCAGCAGCCGGTGGCCATGGAGTGCCAGGGAGAGGTGGAGGAAAGCTGACCTGCTCCTGGGACACTGCTGAGCACAGCTGGGAGCTGGTGGGTGAGCGGAGCCGTGTGGGACCATCCATCCCGGGATCCTGCAGGTGCTGGGAACAGGTTGTGCCCTTAGACCTGGACTGTGCTCCCTGTCACGGGGCAGGACACCCCTGTCCCACCCCGGAACCTGCTGCCACCAGCCCCGGGAGGGTTTGGCCTGTTCCTGTATTGGAAAATAAAACCCCAGCTGAGTCCATCAGTCAGGGGTGGTTCTGCGACCTCTGCAGGGTCCTGCCCTGTCCCTGTCCTGTCCCCAGCAGGTGGCAGAGCAAAGCCACCAGCCCCGGGCTTCTCGCAGAGCTGCAGCTGGAGTCTGTGCTGACAGCACCGTCCCCAAATTGCAAAGGGAGAAGGGGACACCTGGGCACCCCCCTCCTTCCCTTCAGTGCCCCGCTGGGGGTGCTCCCTGTGCAGTCAGGCAAAGGGAGGGTGGGGGGGACAACTGGGACCCCCAGGTTGTTCCCAGAGCCCAAAAACACTCTTAGGGGGGAAAAAACCCCCACTCCTGTTGGTGTTTGAGGGTTTCCCAAGGGCTTGGTTGTCACCAGGCAGGAAGGGGACATCACGGGGAGCGTGTGGGTGGGAGTGAGGGCAAGAGCAGCCCAGCAGCACTGGGGGGCAGGGGGAGAAGCCCTGGGGGCCAGCACGGGGGACAAGTCCTGCTGAGGTCACCCCTCCTTGCAGAGGCCCCCCAGTGGTGTGGGGCAGCCTTTAGCTTCCCCTGGATCCCTGCACAACCCCATGGGCTGGGCCCTCCCTTCCTCCCTGGCACCATCACCATCCTCACCACCCCCCCTCCCTGCCCCCAGAATGCCTGCCATCCCCCTTCCCCAGGGATTTTCCCAAAACACTCACTTCCCCAGCCCCAGGGCCGCTGGCCATGGGGGCCACATGCCCCACCTGCTGCTGGTGGCAACCCACCCACGTACCACCTCAGCTGGAAAACCCAGTGGGGGCTTTTCCCCCCGTGTTCCCCGAGGTGCTGCACTTACCCCAGGGAATTGCCGAGGGTGACGCTGCGGGGTTTGCGTGTTGCCGGTCCCCAAGCCTCGCTCCTGGAACCAGCACCGAGTCCTGCTGGGGGCAGCCCGTGGAGAAAAGCCCCTTTTGGCAGCCGGGGGGGGGGGGGGG